AATACAGATAATGAACTCCACTCAAAATTAAGTACACTTGTAAAAAAGTTTCAAACTAACATTTTTCTAAATGACAATAATCAAAGCAAAATAATAATAATAATAATAATAATAATAATAATAATAATAATAATTTCAAGCCAATAGAGCTGACAAAAGAATTAAATGATTCCTACTAAAAGGCAGCTGCTATTTGATCTTCAGGGACACAAAACGAATATCTATGCTCCCGAAGGCAGCCATGTTAGACATTTATGCTATAGTTGGGAAAGCATAATACTATTTGAGCCAACTACTTCTGAAGGCTTTTGTTTCTTGTTTTTTGAGGCAGGGTTCTCTGTGTAACCCTGGCTGTCTTGGGATTCACTCTGTAGACCAGGCTGTCTTGGAACTCACAGAGATCCACCTGCCCCTGCCTCCTGAGTGCTGGGATTAAAGGCATGGGCCGCCATCACCACCTTGCTTCCTTTTGAAGCTTTAAGGAAACATTTTTATAAAAGGCTGAGGGAAGGGAGTTACAAGTTCAAGATGTACCTGAACTACTGAGTAAATTCAAGGCCAGTTCTAGTACCTCACTGGGATTTGCCTGAGTTATAGAGAAGTTCAAGGCCAGCCCTAGCAACTCAGTAAGACCCTGTCTCAAAACAAGGAAAGAAACAGGAGAGCATAGCTCAGTTGGGAGTAGAGTATTTGGCCTAGCACACAGGAAGCCCCATGTTTGCAGACCAACACTCCTTCAAACAGTGGAAGCGGAGGCAAGAGGATCAGAAGTTCAAGGCCATCCTTAACTATATAGCATTTTCTAGGCCAGCCTGGAATGCATGAGATTCTTTTTCCAAAAGGGGTTGGGGCTACAGTTCAGTGGTAGAGAGAGTGCTTGCCTAGCACATGTGAGGCCCTACATTCAATGTGAGGCCCCGGGAATCTAAAAAAAGACCAAATTGATGGGCTCAGCAATAACAAAACTCTAAAAACAGCGTTTTGAGATCTTTTTTTATTATATAAGTATATTATTAAAATGTCAAAAGAAAGAAGGCTGTATTAGTAAGAAAGTCAGCTAAAATGTATTTTGATTTTATATATAGTTTGACATTTGGGGGAAATATAAAATAGTAATATAAGCTCTTCTCACATATGCTGAGCACAGGCAGACCACACAATCACAGACCATAAAGCTGTAATTTATGATGATTTTGTTCTTTGTTCTTTTAATTCAAAGTCATCTAAGTTTAGACAAAGCTTGACATCTAGGTATCTGTATTAAAATATCTGATTTCTTTCTGTAAATCATGATAATAACCTTCCAGTTATTATTTTATATATAAGCACTTTTGAAACTAGTTCCATATTCCAGCAGCCATTCATTCCACCTGCAACTCCCAGCATGCCCATTCACATTCTCCAAATTTCTTTGAAAATAGAAAACTTGAATAATGAAGGCAAATGAAGTTTCGTGTTATGAAACAATGAAGAATTGTGATCTGTGAAAACCAAGATTTCAGCATCTCTATCAGATTCTGTTTCCATGAGCCCTGAGAACCCAGAATTTGTGCTTCATTATATCTATAGAATTATATACCTTGCCTAAATCATAGCTTCTAAATTCCTAACTCCACTTCTGTAGAGCCCCATGCCAAGTGGATTATTTAGAAGAGCAAATCAAACAGATAAAATAATATGGACAAAAAGAACTCTTGACGCTTAATTTAGCAAATAAAGTCGTTAACACTGTTGGCCCTTAGAAAGTCATTAAAAAATTCATCATCCCTTTTATTAAGTCAAAGCTTCTTGGTAACTATTTGTCATCAAGTACCCTCCTCTACTAGTACAGGAGCAAGTTTATGTAAGAAATAAAAATCACCCCCTAGCCCAGAGAGATGATAAGCTTAACTACCCTCAAACTTTTCCATTATCTACCACAAGCCAACAGTCTCAAACAGCAGTCACTTCTTAGGATGGGAAGTGAAAAAGACCAAATAAATACCCTTGCACTGGCGGAGGAAAGGGGTCAGCAGATGCCCGCTGCCAGCAACTGTTTCTGTGCCATGTGGGGAGCCCTGGTCTGGCTGAACCAAGAAAGACACCCAGGCAAGCCCAGGGGCGGTTCAAGCTCTGTATTTCAGAGAAGCCTGCAGTAAGTGGTGGTGAGAAGAAGCCTTCAGTGCTGCATCTTCTCCCCATTTCCCTACAACAGGTCTGTCATCGTCACCCTAGGTTAGACTCCATTTTCCGAGCCTCTTAACAAGCGTTCCTTAAAAAAAAAAAGTATCCCTTAAGTGACACAACTAAGGACAGGGGCTGATCAACCCAGGGACAAGGCGGCATCCAAAACAAGTGCTAAATGAGCTTATTCAACCCTCCCACCCACAGCATACCACTGTTTCCATCACCAGTTTTTCTGGAGAATGGGAATTCTAAGGCTAATTTAACCGACCAGGCTTCACATTTAGAAAAGTAGAGACACGTGATTGATCCGATCCATTAATTTAAATGCCAGAATGGAAAAATGAGTGATGACAGAAATAGGCATTAAGGACAGTTAAGAACAAAGCCACTGACTTTTAGTATTTAATTAAAATAAACAACATTAAAAAATAAAAATAATCAACTAAGTAGAGGGTTGACAGTGAAGTAATTTTAGATCTGGAAAGATACTGACATGTAAACAGAGGTGAGCTGACCACTCTAAACACCCTGCAAAACTAAACTTCCTGTGGAAACACCAGGCAGAAGCCAAGGCCACACAAACGGGAGAAAACAAACTCCCTTCTAGGGCTTCAGGGGACATGCAGACCACTTCAGTTATCCTGGGCACTACCTTCTCTTTTCTTCAACTCCGACAGTGTGTGGTGTAATATCACTGTTTAACTGTAGGTTTGCCTGCGGTCTCCCAAGGTGCCTGCCAGACGTCCAGTTCCTGGAGGTGACCCCCCGCCCACTGTCCTGCAGCCTTTCCTATCCCCAGGTCTGTTTTGTTTTTCAGCTGGGGCCTAAGCTCCTCTTCTTACACCCCTGACCTACCTTCTTCCCACTCCGTTCCTTCCTATGCCCTTTCCTTAGAACCCACAACCTTATCGCTCCATCTTGCAGGGCTGAATTTCTCTCCACTGTCAGCCTGGGCCCCGTGCTTGCCTGTACATCTGGCTTTCCCCAGATGGGCCTCCCACTCCATGCTGGTGCTGGCCTCTTTCTTGCCTGTGAACCTGTCTGGAGAGCAGTTCCTGGCACATTCAGTTTGAAATTTCTTTCTGGGTCTTTACTGGTGGCTGTATTACTGGCCTCCTGGCCACATCTGAGGTACTCTCCCAGGGCATTAAGAAGGTGTATTTTTCTCTGTGCCCGCACTCCTCCCTGCTGCCCTCATCTCAATCCCCCACAAAACCTGTGACTACTTTTCACCATATGCTTCTCTGTGCATAACATGTGTCCAACCAATTCTTTGGGAGCCTCCCGAGAGTATGCTCTGAATTTCCCTTTTCTGCTTATAAATACCCTGTCATGTGGACTCACATACTCCCAAAATGTACACAACTGTTTGTGCCCTCCCTCCTCCGGGTATATGCATGTGTGTGGGAGCCTCTGCTGGCCCGGGTTTCTGCCTCTCTGGTGGCTTTGCTTAAGACTATTTTTCTCTGTATGCATTTAAAGTGCCTGGCACTAGTGGGAGCTCAACAGATGTTAATTCTTTTCTCCACTTTTATCTAAGTATGTGAGGTCTAAGTCGGGTGTCCCTCTGCCGAACTGTGCCTGTTTTATGAGACGAACTGGAATATATTCTTGAGTAGACACTGAGCTATTTCAGAAAGCCCGGCGGGGTGTAGTTCTGTCTCTCTGAAGAAAATGTCACTGGTCCCACATATGGTATAGCTTTCCCTTCGACAATATATCCACTTTCGTCTCCCTACTCCACATCCCCCTACTCCACGTCCATAATCGGCTTCCTTGTACCCCCAGGTAGTTAAGTGTCTTTTTGGTGGCCCACTCTTTCAGTGTGAAAGTGCCGCTGGGTTTGGACTCCAACTGCGGGTTTTGTGCCTCTGAGCCTCTTCCTGTAGAAGTGGAGAGGGGCGCTCGGAGTATGGTATGAGAGGGGCACGCAGGTTTCTCCCCGGGGCCCGGGAAGAGACCAGTGTCTCTGTTCAGTATGCCCTGTCCCCGGCCTCCCCCGCCCAACCTTCGGGCTCGTTCTTCATCTACAGATGGCGAGTCAGCACAAGACGCGGGGCGCCTCTCGGCTACGCCGCCAAGCTTCCGAGAATTCCTTTCCCCAGAACCTGCCGTCCTGTTCCCGGCTATACTTATGTTTTGAGTCTTCTGGTGTCTCTCCCCGGGATGTGGTGTAGGTTCGCTGCCACGCGGGACGCCGTGCGTCTCCGGGAACCCACCGCAGAGCGCCGGAGTCCCCGGGAGTGCAAGGTGTGTCCCCCTCCCCCTCCCCGCAGCGCCTGTGTCCCGGCCTTCCCGGGTACACGGTGTACACTCCCGCCTACACGCGGGGTGCCAGTGTCTCCAAGTCCCTGAGACTACGAGCCGTGTCCTCACCCCCATGGAGCGCCGCTGCCCCTCGCTCTGCGGCTTCACCGCCCCTCGGCGTTCCCCCGAAAACTCGGACCGCCGGCCGGCCCTCGTCCTTTACTGGTAGCTGCGCGCGCCCCCTCCGTGGGTAGGGCGGTCGCCGCCGTACGTCTCTCCTCGGGACCAAACAAGTCAGGAACCCCGCGGGCGCCGTCGGAAAGTCCCGCAGCGGCGGCGCAGCCCAGACCGGGCCGACCCCGCCGCCAGGGGCCGCCCGCCCGCCCGCCCGCCCGCACGCCCGCGCCCTCGTCCCCGCGGCCCCGGACCGCGGCGTCGGCGTCCCCGGCCGGCCCCGCTCCGCTCCCCTCCGCGGGCGCCGCGGCAGCAGCGGGAGCCAGCGCCCCACCGGCGCCGCGCCAGGGGCCGGGCAGAAAGCGCAGCGGCCGCCGCCTCCCTCCGCGAGCGCTGCCCGGCCGGCCGCTCACCTTGTGGCTCTGGTAAGTCTCCAGCGCCCGGATCGCCGTCTCGGTGAGCTTCACATGCAGCACGGTGATGTTGTCCTGCCCCAGCCGCCCGCACGCCAGCCCGTAGCGCTGCTCCTCCCGCAGCCCCGCCGCCCCCCCCGCCGCCATCTTAAACTCCCCGGGGTGCCACCGCGGACGCCGCTCGGGCTCCAGCCTCCACTGCGGCCGCGGCTGCTCGGGCTCCTGCAGCCGCCGCCACAGCTACGGCCATCCCGCTGCTGACGTACTGTCATATACTGCGCGCAGCTAGACCTCGGGCTTCCACGGCTGCCGGCCGCCCCACCCTCGAGCTCGCGCCCCGCCCTGGCCTCTGCTCATTGGCCTGGGTCCCCACAGGGCCTCCCTCATTGGCCGCCCTTCACCTCGAGGGGGCGGGGCCCAAAGTCGCCGGAGTTTTGCTCCGGACGGGACGTCCGACAGAGGAGAGGCTGACGTCGGGGTGACGCGCCGAGTTAATCGCATCTGACGTCACGTCTCGTCTTGGCTCGCCTGCGGCGATTGGCCGAACCGTTTTGGGGACCCCCTGCTAATTGGGCGTCAAGGTTACCAGATCTGGTCGTCTCAGTTAAAGCCCCGCCCCTTGACGGGTAACAGTGGACCGAACGCAGTAGTAGTCCGTGGTGAAGATCCCCGTCCCGTACCGGTGAAGGCAGGACAGGTGACCAAGTACGGATTTTGCCTTCCGACAGCTGCGGAAGCTTTGGACCTTGATGTCCCTCTGTGGGGCGGACGCAGTAGGCCGTCTCCAGAGCTTTTCCTTAAAAGGAAGTTCGGTAGAGGAGTGGAACAGAGGATACTTCATTCCAGACTTGAAATTACGTAGTCGGCTGTAGTCTTCCGTCGTTGTGTGGAGCAACTTCAGTACAAAGTTATGCCAGAAGATTAAATGTGTTTCGTGCCGTAGGCATGGTACAATAAATAGAGTTGGACATCAAAGCCTTTCAAACCAACTCACACATGCGTGTGGTCTTATAGGAACAGAATATGGTCTGGCATTCACCATATGATCAGGATTATGCCTTTTATGAGGCATGGGAAAGCCAGGCCGTTTGGGGTTTCTTCTTTCAGAGGACCCTAGAAGAGTAGAACTGACCTTGACCTCGGTGAAAAGAAACATGGACACCCGTGCTCTGAGTCTGTTTGAGATCTCTACGTTTCATTGGACAGGGCTGGGAGAAAACCTGGCTAGGCTTTAGGCTAGTAGAAGGTCTTACTGAGGTTAAATGGAGGAGGTGGAGGCCAAAGTGTAAGGAAGCTTGGCTTACTTTCCGGTCCGGCTTATGCTCTGTGTGGGCATGGCTAGAGGAGAGTGCCTAAGCTCTTCAAGCTGTGTGTGGATAGACGAGATAGGTTTTCCCTGAAGAGGCCAATAATTGGGTGACCAGAAACACAAGACAAAGTCGGGATGTAATATATGAGAGAATAATAATAATAATAATTTTAAAAATACCACACACAAGACAATTGCTGAGCTGAGGCTGGGGGATTGACTGTGGAGGGTTCTAGGCCAGCTGGACTACAAACCAAGCCCGTCTCAAAAAACAACAGCAACAAAATAGAAACAACAACAACAAAAAAATAAGCAACAAAAAAGAATCAAGTGAAAGATTTGAAAGCTGGGATAGGCATTCTGTAAAAATACCCCCTTTTCGTTTTTTGTTTTAAAATTTGAGACGTTCATTATTCTCAGATTGTAAAACCTTACTATGTCTTTGTTGGGATTCTTTTTTTTGTTTGTTGGTTTGTTTGTTTTTTGAGACAGGGTTTCTCTGTGTAGCTTTGCGCCTTTCCTGGAACCCACTCTATAGTCCAGGCTGGCCTCGAAATCGCAAACATCCGCCTGCCTCTGCCTTCCGAGTGCTGGGATTAAAGGTGTGCGCCACCACTGCCCGGCTCAGGGATTCTTTTTATAGGCATTTAATCAGTATTTCTCTAGCTTTTTAATACAGATGGTGCTATGATCTCTTTTGATTCCTTATCCACTCCACACCTGAGTAAATGCCCCCCCTTTTTTCCCAGGCCCTCGAGCCTTCTATGTTTATACTGCAAGTCTCAGAAGGAATTATCTTTCTGTAGTGTAGGGATTAGATAAAAGCACGGGTATCTAGTGTAGTTTCATCAAGAGAGATCACTTTGTAAATTGTCCTAATTTCAGCCCACTAGTATTAGTTCTATTAACATATGGTTTACAGCTGTTAACTTGTGTCAGTTCCCTTAAATTCATTGAATAGGGCAATTAAGGCAATAACAAAGGATGAATTACAAAATTTACAGGGGAAAATAAAAGCTTCATATTTCCTCCTAAAATACCTTACTCAAATACTTCATATCTAAGTGAAATACAGTCTGGAAAGAAATTGTACGTGAATTCTTTATTTTTGTCTTCTTTACTTCTATAGGGAAGAACTTGCCACACGTCTAAAGCCTTAGTTATTTGGGGGTGGAGTGAACATGGAGATGGGGGAGGTTTGACTGGAACAAGCTAAGCCTGTACCCACTGCTTTTCCGGTGAGGGTGGGTAAATCCCCGCCCACAGGAGATCCTAACTTAGTCTCCTCTTACTAAGAATTCTGATGACATCCAAAGGGTGGGGGAGTTTTCACTGTAGTTTTCAAACATCTAATGTCTGCCCCATTTTCTAGTAGCTGATTATTTTCTTAATTTTAGGTAACTTTTTCTCACTCCTTATTTTAATGGGAATCAAACATTTTAATGGGTAATATGGTGTTGTAGTGAGTTAATGTTTATTTGCACATTCTTTTTCTCTTTTGAGGATGAGCAATGTCTAATAGACTTCTTGATTGATTATGCCAACCCAAATCAGATGGTCAAGTTGTGCTGCCCGTAAAAATAATTAATTTGAAGAAGGCTGATGAAAATCACCCATTGGGATGGTTACCACTGTATACATGTTTTCTGTATCTTTGTTCAGCTTAAATAATTATTCACTAAATGCCAGCTAAGTGTAACATGCTGTGGAAAAAAATTTAAAAATTAAACGTTATGGTTTCCAGGGGAGTTTTCTTCATAAATGTGAATGAACCAACACACAGCAAAGCAATTAGAGAATTAGTAAATGCTAATTTGGATATGTTGGTGATGAGCTTAAATCATGCAAAGAAAGAAGTCTGGGGAGGTTTTGTTGAGGTGGTAAAACTTTTAAGGTCTCTTGACTGCTAAGTAGATTCTTGATAAGTAGAGGTGGTACAGAGAGAGGCCAATAAAAATTACTGTAATAATCACTCTAGATAAACCCATTCATTTTGTGAATGAGAAAACACAGACCCCATTAATTTAAAAGCAATGCGCCTAACCTATTATAATTGGAAGAGATGATTCTGAGTCAGCTTTTTAATCTAATGCCTATGTACGCCAAAGAGATACTGTTGTGTTTCACTGAAGAAACCCACCTTAATGCCACAAAAGGACAACGGGAAGTAATCTGAGCCAGGGCCTACCATGGCTTTGATGTGTACATGTGTAGTTCAAGCAGAAGCTGCCTGACCATTAAACATTCTCTGGCCTTCAGATGTAGGAGCACCCTCATCTGTAGCTGCTGCATATTTAAGGACCATTTCCAATGTTTCTGATATCTTCAGGACCCATTTGGTACCCAAATAAGTGAAACGGGACCAAACAAAATGTCATAGGGATAGTGGTACTAGATTATGGTAAGCAGGGATTATTTAAAGGCCTGATAGTTTCTTGGTCCAGCAGATTATTTTAAGTGATCTTGAAGGGGTTCAGTATTGACAGATTTAATTTTTTTTTTTTTTTGGTTTTTCGAGACAGGGTTTCTCTGTGTAGCTTTGCTCCTTTCCTGGAACTCACTTGGTAGCCCAGGCTGGCCTCGAACTCACAGAGATCCACCTGGCTCTGCCTCCCGAGTGCTGGGATTAAAGGCGTGCGCCACCACCGCCCGGCGACAGATTTAATTTTTAGGCAAAGCTGGAAGACAATAATTTTTACTCAAACCTTTTGATTTTTATTAGCATCTAACCAAACATTTTAATGTAAATTCTCTGTGTACTAAAGTCTTTGAGGTGGGCACAGTGACAAGCCTGCTATCCCAGCACTTGAGAAACTAATGTAGGAGAATTAAGAGTTCCAGGTCAGGTTGGACAACAGAGTGGGGGCTTGTTTAACAATTTCTTGTTAGAAAGGGTTAGAGGTGGACTGGAGTGCTATGTAGATAAAAAGAACCAGAGGCCTTGGACTGAGGTGAGTTTCAGCAAACATCTTGTATTTCTATCGAATGTATGTTTATCTAGGCTTGGGTTAAGAGTGGTATGTATATGGATGTTTGGAAGGGAAGTTGAGTCTTTCTGTAGCCATATATACAGAGAAGGCCCAAGACAAATGGTTTTTTAAAAGGGACTGCCCATCATGGCAGTCCTTCAGGTACCCACTTCCATGATCATTCTTGGATACTAGAAGGACACTGGGATTGGTGTGTGCATACCCTGGCACAGGCAGCCCCTGCTTTCTCCCACAGGCTATCCTCTGAACATCCTCCTCTATATTTAGTCTCCTTTTAGGACAGTGTGACACTTTTAAGTGTTTGATCTGGATATAGGGAAAGTTGGTTAATGTACCATATCAGCTATGCAGCATCCTGCATCCTCTTCTGTTCTATTCCCTCCTTGACACTGGGAGCTGAGTAGTGATAGTGTAGGTGCACAGGGTTATCTTTATTCTTTTTAGATCTATTGAACACAACAGGTTCTTTTCCAGACATATAACACTTCGTTTTTTACTAATACCATTGTAAGCTGTTTACTGCTCTAAAGGTGGTGGCACCTGGGAGAATGGAGTCAATAAATGAGGCAGGCTAAAGTCTCATCAATAGCCAACTTTATTCAAAGTACCAGGCAATGTGTACTCTGAGGGTTAAGAAGAGTCACACGAGTAAAGTGTGCAATCACAACAGCAAACTGAACATGGCGGGCAAGCCTCAAACAGTACAAACATGTTTTTTCATAGAAGCATATAAACAAATAACAATAGCCAGTTGTAATGAATAATCGGAAGTAAACTCACTACTATCCACTATGCCTGGGAGGGGCACGAAAGAATAATGAAGAGCAATTCTGTGTTTTTGAAGAAACTGAGGTCACAAGAGTCTTTTGTTTCTTGGAGTTTTTCACAAGCACCCAGAAATCTCCCCACATGACATAAGCTTCTTTCTCCCTAATTTTGTTGTTGTTCTTTTTTTTTTCTTTTCTTTTTGCCTTTTCTCATTTGAAGAGACATCTTTAAGAGGTTGTGTGTCCTTTGGAAAGAAAAGTCATATTTTATTATCTTGCTTACCAAAACAATAACAGCAAAACTAACTCCTGTCTTGATGAAGGGAACCCTTCATAACACAATGACCAACAATCTCTTTTTCATACATGACAACTGCTTTATGGCTTTTCAGCATAGTGCAAAGCCCCAAAGGATGTCAAATAGACTCTAAGAAGAGTGCTGCAAAGAAGCTCAAATGTTTCCAAATAAATTCAAGATTTAGGTAGAAGGGGAATGTGCTGCTTGTCTGCCCAACTTTGCACCTCTAAACTCGTTAACAGTGAAATATTACCATCAACACTAAGAAATGGTCAGGATGTAGAGCTCAACCTTGCCTCAAACTCACTGTCTCCAGTCTCTTGAGTGCTGAGATTACAGTCGCTTCCCACAGTACCAGGCTTACTAGCTTATTCCTGATAACGCTTTATAGTTTAAAAGCAATTAAGTTATATTATCTCTGAATTTCTTTCTCCTAGAACTTTGTGAGGTAGCTATTGTTCTAGACTCTCTGTACTTTTGAGATAAACGAGACTCAGAGAGGTTGTGTATGATTCACAATATGAGTAACAGAGCCAGGCCAGATCTCTGGCTTTGTTTTCCAAATCTATCAATCTACTTTTGGACATGGCTCAGAGGTCTGAAGATTTAAACTGAACATGAGACGTTGGACCCTCGTAGGCACATTGGGAACTGATTTTGTTGATGCTGTTGAAAGAACACTGAATCATCTGAACCATCCCCTTTCATGATATACACTAAACATATTTCTAAATAGCAAGAAAGAAAAAAAAGTGATCCATTCAGTTTTGGTAACTTATTGAGATTTATGAAAACTAATTCTAGTGTTTGTGTAAGTCATGTATGATTTGTGCTGCATTGCAACCTTTTGTGTAATAAGTATGCAGAGTACATACATGCCCATTTGAAAAAAACCTCACATGATATTTCAAATTATTAGATTTATAGTTCTCATATCTTTGCTTATATTGCATGTCATTCATACCCATGATTTATTTGACAATGTGTCTTTGGTCAAAAGTACTCCAATGATATTACCTGTTCCCATGGGGAAATGCAGTTACTTTATGACATAATTTCTAGTACTTACTATGCAGAAAGTATACAATAAATATAGCTCACTTATAAACTTGGAAGATCTTTGTGGTTCAACTTAGAGGGCTAGAATCACAGCTGTGGTTGGTCACGTTTTATATTCAGTCATTCAAATACTGATTCAAGTGTTTGGTCCTGGGACCTTTATAGTGTACTGTTTGGGAACCTTTTGCTATTGCTTGGGATTTGGGAAATTAAGCAACGTGATACTTTCAGGTTAGAATATTTACAGAGCTAGAACTAGGCAGTGCAGTCTAACAGGAAATAAGCTACAAGGATAAGGCATGTTATGCAAGAAGCGTTGTATAGACATCAATTAGTGACATGACAGCAGTTTTAGATTGCTAGAAATCATTCAGCTCAGCATGCAGGAAAAGCGTCATGGAAGAGTTAGTGTTGGGATGTAAAGCTTGTATTTGGAAGTAAAGTCTTCCCCACAGGCTCATAGGATTCAGTGCTGTCCCCAGCTGCTGATGCTGTTTTGGAGGGTAGTGGAACCTTTGGGATGTAAGGCCTAGCCTGCAAATGTAACTACTAGGGGTGACCCTCAAGGGTGATGTCCCGGTTTCCAGTTTGCTTCTTGACCTTCTGAAATGTGAGTCAGCTCCTTCTAAAGATATTACACTGTGAACAGAGCCAAGCCAGCCATCATGCCTTCCCACCACAAAGACTAGTTGATAGTCCCACAAACTGTGAGTTAATATAAACTTCTTCCTTAGGATGCTTCTGTCTGCTGACTGTCACAGTTATGAGAAAAGGAACCATTGTGTTTTTTACCTTTGATAAAGTATTAAAACATTTTAAATATAAGGTTGCTATATTTATATAGGAGCAGGTAGGAGATGAGTGGGGAAGAGACAGCACTTTGGTTTAACTGTCATATGAGACACATAAAGGTGCTTTCAAGAGACGATGGAGAGAGTTTTTCCTGTTGGTTTAAGGAGCACAAATTTGCTAGGCAGTGGCAGCACACATCTTTAATCCCAGTACTCGGGAGGCAGAAGCAGGGGAATCTCTGAGTTGAGGCCAGCCTGGTCTACAGAGTGATATCTACGACAGCCAGGGCTACACAGAGAAACCCGGTTTTGAGAAACAAAACAAACAAAACAGGAGCACAGATTTGTGAGCATTGGGGTGCTAGTGGAGGCTCTTTAATTGGAGCTCTCTAATCCAAGGTGGAGCTATTCAGGGGAATGAAGAATAAGTAATGGATGATAATGGGAGATAATTGAAGAAAGAATCCAAGTTAGAAAGCAAAACAAAATTAACCCCATAGTCAAGTACTGATTGGGAACAGAACGGAAGAGGAGGTCATGAAAGACTCTAAGACAGGAGGAATGACTGGTTTGGCAAGGCTGTTTAGGCATGAGAGGTGAGTACGTACCAGAAATTACTATCTTCGTGTTTGGTTTCCTAGGAAATGTGATAGAAAAAATAAGGAAATCGGGAGAAGAGCTGGCTATATTAGAGGTACCGTCAGACTCAGTGCCTGGCAAATATTTGAAAATGTGGGTCTAAGACCTCAGAATCTACACCTTGGAGTAAT